TGATTCTCTGTTCAGACACTGATGTAAGTCTGTAAATGGCTTTATCAAAGTTTGTGAACATACCAGTCCTGAAGGGAATAAAAACAACAAATAAGAGAGAGAGAATAAAAGCAGACACTTAGTCCTCTTCTTCTTTTTGATAATGGAATAGTTTCCAAGTTTCCTAAATTAGACTATTGTTAAGCTAAACATAATGAATAGTGTTGCTTGGTAAAGTCAGAAAGTTCTAAGTTGTGTATAAAGCCTAAGTTTCATTCAGATCTCCCTGGCTCTGCTTTTACCACACTTCAAAGTCAGTAGTATTATTCTAACTACTGTGATTATCACTTGACATTACTGACATCAGAATCAGATAAGAATAATAATAGCAGGACAAGGGAATATGGTTTTAAGTTGAAGGAGGGAAGATTTAGTTTGGATGTCAGGGGGAAATTCTTTACAGAGAGAGTGGTGAGGTGCTGGAACAGGCTGCCCAGAGAGGTTGTGGATGTCCCGCCCCTGCAGGTGTTCAAGGCCAGGTTGGATGGGGACCTGGGCAACCTGGTCCAGTATGAAATGCAGAGGTTGGCGGCCCTGCCTGCAACAGGGAGATTGAAGCTTGATGATCCTTGAGGTCCTTTCCAACCCCAGCCATTCTTTGATAATTCTATGGTTCTATGATAAGGCATGCTAGATCAGCAAGAAAAAGTTCTCACAATACACTGTTCTTACACACAAATGCATTTAATAATGTGAGTGATTTTCAATAGAGCATAATATTGTTTTATATTTTTTCTAAGTTCATCTTTTTGTGGACTTAAAGACGGACTTACAAAATGATCTTTGAAAAAAAAAATTGTGTTAGATTCTTATAAGGCACTGATAGTTGATGTCCTTAGTATTTCATTTTGTTTGATTCTCTGTTGCTACATTTACTAAAACAAATACTCACTTATAGTGTAAGTAGTAGCTAATACTTTGAGTTTTGTTGTCTTTCATATTAACAATAATTTGGGAGAAAGTTGTGCCTCCTTATTCATTCTTTTTCAGAAGTGTTGCTTATTTAATAATTTCTTCAGCTGTACATACAAGCTTAAAAGAGCTTGCTAAATTGCAGCATGCATATGCCCCAAAACCAGCGCAGCACCCCACTTTCCTGTGCTCTCATCCTTCCCCACAGGTTATAAGTCAGTTCATCCTGCCTAATGCTTTCTTCCCAAAATCTCCCTGGAGGAAGCTGAGGTCACCTTGAACTCTCAACACAAAGAAAGCTAGGTATAATATCTCTGTGTGTGCTGTTAAGATTGGTAGCATAGAGCAATAGTAAATATTAAAAGATTGAAGAAGTAGTATATGAGGGGCAGGAATGGATCTGGCTCCTGATGCTCTGATTGCCAGCACCAGTTCATTTTTTAACTGAAGTATCCTGAGGCCGTGCACAGGGTCCTCCCTTACGTGCCATACCAGGAGTTTCATTGTGTGTGGTTATTATATGACTGGTTATTATATGACTGGTAAAGCTCATCACTGGTTCCTGGCTCTCCCAGGCTCTGTGTCAGGCTGGGTGCAGGCTGCATCAGGGCTGCTCCCTGGCAGGGCCACCACACGGGGCTGTGACACTTCAGCCTCTCTTCAGGGCCTCCATTTTGAAATGAAGATGGCTCCCAGTACCCAATCTCGCACCACAAGTGTGCCTGCCACCTGTCCCACATGCACATGCAGCATCTTAATTTGCTTCAAGAATGTGCTTTTTGGAATGGATGTCTTGATTGTGGCCATTCATTTGTGCTGTCTTTCACATCAAGGTGTCCTGTGGTCTCTGAATACATTAATTTCTTCTGGGAGATGCCAAATGAGAAGGTGTGCCCCTAGATGTGAACTAGCTTCCATTGTGAGTTGTGCCCAAGGAGCAGGTTAGAACCAATTGAGAGTAAAACCCTGAACCATGCTTGAAATGGATGCCAGCTCCCTAGCACAAACACTTGTGCTGTGTACACCCTGTCTTATGGGGTTTGCTGCTTTCTGTCATGGAGATGATAGACAGTACAACTCTGTTCTTTCTCTGCATTGTTACTGAGGTTGACCTTTTGGTCAAATTTGGGAACGTATGAGGTGGCATGTGTTGTTTTAAGGTGTCCCCAGACCTAGAGAATTTCTATAACAAAAGATTTCTGGAAGATACCTCATTTACCAAAATCTCAGTCTTTTTTTTTTTTTTCTTTCAGAGTAGATGTCTGGCTTTTTTTTTACCTTACTCCTCAGCTCTACCACAAGAAAAGGAATACTCTTTCCTGACTCACTAGCACTCATGTCTTTACTGTGTAGTTCATGGCTATAGCTACTATTATTTGTACAGAATGGTCGAAGTCTCATCTCTGTTAAGGTCTCCAGTCACTGATATCAGTTAAAGGATAGAGAAGGAAAATGTTTGAGTCTGTGGAACTCTTTGAGAAGTTCCTTTTTTTGTTAGAAATTTGTCTTAGTGCAGAAGTACAACATAAAGAGGGATGGTTCATCAGGTAGCAAGGATTCCTATCCTATATTATAGATCGTAAGCTGCACATTTAAGAATTCAAGAGATAAAGGTGGAAGCTATTTTCACTAAACAGGCACTTTTTTCCTAAATCATGAGTGATAAAAATCAGAATTGTGTTTAATCTTGGTTGAAAATGCGAGCATATAGCATCATTTCTTTTCTCTGTCTGTGTGATCAACATTTTTAGGGTGAAATTCATCTCAGTTAACACTAGGGATATAAAATGTAGGTGCCTACATCAGATCTAATCATCATCAACTCTTCTTGTAGTCAGCGGAGAAAAATAAGCACTTTCAGGGCACAAGCTGTCTAATTAATTTTAGACGTGTACTTCAGAATAAGATGAATCATTTCCTCTGAGTGCCTGTTCTTTCTACTGACTTTAAAGGAAGCACAGACAACTAGATGATATGTAGATGTGTACCTTTATTACATACCTTCAGAGACAAGCTTTGAGAGAATATGCTTACAGAAATCTTTCCTTTATTCATAAATTTTCTGTATTTTTCACATTAAATCTGGGAATTCTGCAGTCGTTACTACATATATTTGCTAGGAAAAAGAACAGGGGCAAATCCATTTAATCATTTGCAATATTTACTCATTGTGACTATGTGAAAAACTACACCTCAATAGATTACAATAGTTACCTTGTGCATGCTTAATATAACCAATATCTTGCAATGATTGTCATACTTTGTGTTACAAAACTGTACCAAGGAACAAATCACTAAGGGTGTTAACTGCCAAAGCTGTATCAGGTCCCAAGAGCTTGAAGGGAGTTGCAGTGATTTCCCAAGCTGAGGATCAAACCCATGGTTATCCCATTACATTCATTTTAAATCACATCTTCTTATACTGAAACAGTGATGCTGTATATGTTCAAATTGTGGGGTTTTAATCTCTATCATTTTCCCTCTAGTAGGGAGGCGAGCATATTGTCATTACCACAGACTGTGGAGGAAGTATGTATGTAAAATATTACTGATGTCAGAGATCACATTTCCACTGAAGCCATTCAAGTCTCTCCTTGTACTACCAAGGATGTGAATTCAGTATTTACAGTGGGGAAAAAAAAAGAAAAAAAAATTAAAAAAAGATATTTAATTACTGATATTAATAAATGATAAAAAATTGCATATTCACTTTATTACTTTAAAATAATGAAATTAATTATTATCAATCTGCAGCACATGGCAAACATTTACCTATATCTTATTTATTCATTTGAAAGGAAGATAAAAATGTATAGTGGGGATGAGTGCTTGAGGAGAAAAAAACATGATTTTATGATTCTGTGGTGATATGTTGACAGTTGTATTTGATCTTAGAAGTCTTTTCCAACTTTTATAATTCTGTGATTCTGTGATATATTTAACTACAAATAGACTTTCTTAAAGTGAATGGTAAACCATTCAATTTAATTGAAAATAAGAGTTAAAGGACTCTTTGCTGGCATTAAACACAAGTTGCATGGTATCACGGGTATTGCTACAAATTTATTTAGTAAAAACACTTCTGAAGTCTAACAAATCTATTAGCGCCATTTTCTACTGAGAAGATTTTCACTCCTCATTTCTGGTATTCAGCACATTAAATAGGCATGCTGTCATAGAAATGGCGGTGATATTGGTACAAGGCATGGGCTGACATTGTTTTGTCTAATCCCTGTTTGTTGAGCTGTATCAAAACCATAGCACATCAGGAGTGTTCCCCCTTGCATCACTTGACATTAGATGTTGGCTATAGGCTCAAATGTGTATGGCTTCCCCACAGGACCAAGCACTGTGTTGCCCCTCTCACCTCCTGCATCACCAGAAGCCCCTCACAGCTGGAGACAAGGGGCTTTCACAGCAGCAAGTCTGGTTGCCTCTTCTTGCTCTGTCCTTGCTCATTCCCATTCCCGAATCTCCAGTTTATTACTGAGAAGTGAATAACGCTCAGAGTACTTGACCACCTCAAGGGCAAAAAGCTTTGATACCAAGAGGTGAAAACCCAGTTTGATTCATAAATGCTGCACTCATTTGAAATGAAAAAGTACATTAGGAGGTAGGCTTTCTAGCTAATGTGTGACCTCCTGCTTCTGAATTTGTGTCCCGCAGGTAATTGCTGTACTTGATGAAATAGTGTACTACACTAACACTTTCAATCATATGGAAGGCACTCAGATTACCAGTTCATTACTTTACCCACTTTAATTTTAACTTTTTTTCCCATGATTAAACACCTGGAAAGTTATAGCTACTTTATTGGAGTAGGACTGTCAGTGTTATATTGCTAAGGTTAAATGCTTCAGAATTTATATCTATATGGGTGTGAAAACACTGTATGACAGGTTTTTTTCTGTTTTTTTTTTTTTCCTGTTTTTATTTTCTGCATCTTTCTTTCTTTCTTTCTTTCTTTCTTTCTTTCTTTCTTTCTTTCTTTCTTTCTTTCTTTCTTCTTTTCTTTCTTTCTTTCTTTCTTTCTTATTTCTCTCCTACAGATTGTGAGCGTGGGAAAGCATGTTAAAGGATACCATTACATTGTTGCCAACTTGGTAAGATCCTTTTCTAGAATTATACACCTGCTTGGTAAGTGAAACGCTCAGATTTGCTTTGGAGTCTCAGAACTTTATCTGCCTTTTGTCACGAATATGTGGTTGCATATAATACATTCTTTAGAACGTGTAAAAGAACTTGGTTCTGGTGTTCTGCCATCTATACAAGAAAGAAAGATAAAATGTTATCTTCTTAAATCTTATCAAAATCAATGTAGTAAAGAACAGCTGTGTGTTTCCTGTGGCTGAATCAGATGCCTTTACAGAACTACACTATCAATGTTCACTCATCTTTTTAATAATAGCGTAACAATTATTGGAGTAACTTTCCTACATTGAGTGGGGAAAATTCATTTTGTGGTAAGAGCATCTACTCCCTGTCAAATCACTAATTCAGTATTTTCACTCTAAGTCTAAACAGCACTTTAACACGAATGATGTTTAGAAGAAGGCAAATGAAGAGCAAATATGATATTTTGTTATTAAAATAGCTCATTTTTCAAGTTGAAATACCTTCCTGGTCAAGCACAGTGAATGTAGGGCAGAGTCTAATGCGTTCTTCCAATTGTTTTCTTTTTATTCTTCCCTCAAGGAATTTTAGCTGACATGAAATATGTTACTGTTCTTTGGTATACTGGTACCTTAAGATCATTTCACATTATTTTTAAGACCTGAGGCTTTTGAAATGAGAGAAGTCTATCCTCTTAGGGTCTTACAAATTAGATTTTCATCTTACCGAATTTAGAATTCCCCAAGTAACCTTTTCCATGCAAAGTGGTTGCTGTAAACAGTAGGATATACCATGGAGACACTCAGAACTTTAGCATGAGTGCATGCTCCTATCTATCAGCTATTCAGTAACATGAGCAATATGACTTACTAATGTGTCGCTTCTCATATTCACCATTAGTCTCCTTTAGGAAATGAATCAAATCTCTGTCTTGAACATTGTTGTGGGTTTGTTTTGTTTTGCTTTGTTTTGTTTTGTTTTAATGTGGAGTATTGGGTCAGTGGCCCACAATTACTTTTTTCCTGAATTTTTTCTTGAAGTTATACGACAGTAGACTTCATTCTCTACTGTTAAATGCCAATCAGAGAAACTAAAGAATGTAATGAATAAATAAATAAATATGTAAAATCTGAGATACCATAAAATGTAGCAGCAAAAAATTAAGATTTTCTTCTTACTTTAACAGTTTGCATTATGCAGTCTCTTGAAGTTCAGTTGCATCTTTAAATGCAAATTTTACTAAAAGATTTGTTTGTGTGCCTTTGAGACAAATGAGCCTTAAAACCAGTAAGTCAGGAAGTACATGTACTTCTTTTTTTTTTTTTTGTTCCATGTTGGAAGTCACTCTAGATTTTAGACAGATTTAGATCTGAGAACTATCACCACGTTTCACAAAAGGTTGATTCTGATACTGTTTTCCTTTTTTCATTGTACTAACAGTGAGACACTCATGTCCTGTTTCTGCGTTCTAAAGCCCATTATATTATTTCATAACTTATGTTACTCAGATAACTTCAGCCTAAACAATGAGTCCTGGAATAAATATATTTATACAATAATGTTCTTCACTTTGTAAACATGAAAAGAAGCAGGGATGTAATGGACCAAGCACAAACACATTAAAATCTACCAACTTCAGTGGAAATTGATTCTAGGATTCAATATTCTGCAGGCACTTTTCATCTCCAAATGCACTCCTTCTAAAACTAAACTGACTGCCATTCCCAGCAGTGTGTTACTGAGCTGTTGAGACCACTCTATCAATAATGTGAGAATTTTGTTTTCTGGTTTTGTTTCTTTCTTTATAACACAAATGGAAACTATGAACTTTCAATGTCCAATATTATTCTCTGGTTTTAAGTCTTAGCTGCTAATGGAAACCTGCTGTTGCCCTTCTTTATGCTGTCTTACTGATCTAGAACAGATTGAACTCACAGTGATGTATAAGGGCAAACAAAATCTTAAATTGATTTTCTAGGGATTCAAAGATATTTCTCTGGAGAGGTTTATGCATGGAGGAGCTAATGTGACAGGATTTCAGCTAGTAGATTTCAGTACCCCAATGGTAACTAAGTTGATGCAGCGCTGGAAGAAGCTGGACCAGAGAGAATACCCAGGATCTGAGACTCCACCAAAGGTAATGATGAATATGAAGCACTATCAAAGATATCACTTAGGTGTTCCAATTTCTGATTAACACTGATAAATAAATGAGTAAAGACCTTAATATTTAGACAGAAGCTAAGGCAGTTTATCCTACTATTACTGGCAGCTAATTATGTCTTGTCCTTGTGATTGTATGGTAGCAACACAGACTGCAACACATTTCACTGATGTACTTTACTGTTTTTTGACAGTCAGTCTGCAAATCACCTCTTTACTGACAGGAACTAAAGGTCAAACACTTAACTGACAACTTAATTTCAACCTATTTTATATTAATTAATCTAATTATCTAGATTCACTTAGAGCACAGAGCTTTCCTGACAGCTGAATTCTTCTGCATATGAGATATAACCACAGTCATAAATTTAGTACCTTTAAATTTTCATCTGGAATTTCCTTTGGAATTATTTCTGTCTCAAAACTTGGTGTAATAATCATTTTCAGGCACAATCTTACAGTGCAATTACATCCCAGTGTTCCTCTATCCTAATCCTTCACAGATGGATAACAAAATATTTCTGTCACCTATAATTTTCTTGTCAGGCAAGTCAAAGCATAGTTATAAATATGAATTCATCAAAACAGCTCTGATTTATATATATACAAATACATGTCAGACCCAATTGTGGCTCTTCTGCGCTCTGCAAAAATATGCAATCAACCATTCTGTGGCTAGAAGAGCAATGAGTTGGCAAAACCTATAGAAAGAATCAAGATGGGTAATACAAAGGATATCGACATCATTTGGTGAATATTCAAGAAGTTTGTTTTATGGAGTGGAAAAAATACACAAGGATGCTGTGGTCTCTGGAGTGCAGAGATACACAGTACTGTTGAGTGGAACTATTTAGCCCATAGGACTCATTTTCAATGAATAGAACTATAATACCTCCTTCTAAGAAGTTGACATGATTAAACAGTATCACACATAATTCACCTATGATTAACCAAAATTCACGATTTTAAACTTAAACATGTCCCAACAGGCTTAAAATATGCAAGACAAAGGACAGGAAGAAAATTAGCTTTCAATAACTGACATTTTGGCATCTAAAGTGAATTTCAATATCAGCCCTGTGGTTATGACCCATTTCTCCTGATGCAGGAAATTCATCGGAGAACCAAGGTGCAAAAATGCCCCTTTGTTTATATGCTCCTAGCTAAAATCTGCTGAAGACATACTCTATGCATTTAATTTAACATGTTCTCAATCTAAAATAGTTATAATAGTCTAGAAACACAGACTGCCTTTGATGACCTGCCAAGCCCCCTTTATGCTTCACTACTGTTCAGTACTGTGTGTTATTCACAGGGCTTGCAATAGGAAGAACTTACTCTTGATCATTCTTAACAAATCCAGCAACTTGGATTTTGGCTCATTTATTCTTGCTTATTATCTTTTTCAGTTACTATTTATTTTATTCTTTTTTTCTGTTTGAGTGAGTTGGATGGGTAAGACAAATATTTTAAAAGTTTCTTCTGATAATTCTTCAGAGGCAGATTTTTCTGTGCTTATGAAATACAGTCTAAAAGCTATAAGTAGTGTAATGTACTCTTCTCAATCCTGCATTCATTCCTTAGACAAAACTGCTTTTGATTTTGAGAGGAGTTTTTTCTTAACGAAAGTGTAGAAACTGCTGTGTAATGCATCAAGCTAGAAAGAAGCAAGACAGCTGATTTTTGCAAAGTGTACCAACGCTAAGGCATTGTGTTTGTCCATCCATTTAGTATACATCTGCATTAACATATGATGGAGTGCTTGTGATGGCTGAAACTTTCCGCAATCTTAGAAGGCAGAAAATAGATATTTCAAGAAGAGGAAATGCTGGTGATTGTCTTGCTAATCCTGCTGCCCCATGGGGTCAAGGAATTGATATGGAGAGGACATTGAAACAGGTAAGGGTGTACTTTATTCTATTTAGTGATCTTTGTGAATATTACTTACAAGTTGTACATTACATTATTTGGAAGACACTATATTTGAGGATACTGACGGGAGAGAGGAAATTTATTTGTCAATTGCCAGTTGGAATCAGCTGGGGCTGTTTTGATGTTTTAGTTTGGAATGAATTGGAATGAATGCAGAAGGGAATTGCAACTGTAGAAAACTTCTAGTAGTTCTAGTCTTACTAGATAGTTGGGACTTGTGTTACTGAGATGTTGAGCTCATCTGTTGCACTTTGCATATAACCTGGCTGTGCAGATACTGTCATCTAGGGGAACAGATCAAATACAGCCTTTCAGATATTCTTCTGTCATCTTGAATAAATGCAGATTTCTTCCAGGGAAATCACATAGGTAGTGTTCTTTTTTTTTTCTTTAAAAAGACATAACCCAGAGCCATTGTTCACTGATGTCAGGATTTTGAATTCCCAATGAATATGGATGCCTAGAAAGTTCCAGATCTCTGTCAAGATGATTTAGTCTTTCCTTTGGGTGGGACAGTAAGAAAAATAAAAATCTTGCAGTTGAATTTAAATCATTGCAAATGAGCAGGCTCTGCTCAGGAGAAGATGCTGAGAAGTGACTGCTGACAGAGTCGGCAGCTCTATGCCTGGAAGCCTGTGTTTCAGACCTGGAGAAAAATCAGCACAGATACAAATGGTCAAAGGGAAAGAGTAAGTGGTTTAAATCCACATTCTGACTGCTAGGAGGAGATATAAAGCATTTTATCTGCTTTGCATAGTCTCTGCAGATGCACAGATCTATAATAATTGTGAAAAATGTGAAATCAGGCTTCTGTGTTAGGTTGGACAGCTTGAGCCTCAGAGTCTGGCCAAAAATGCTTGCATGGCTGGATCCTGACACAATTAGAGCCAGCAGCAATATGGACGTGATTTCTTTGGAATGAGGTCCACAGTCTGGGTGTCCTCCAGTAAAGCAGTACTGAGCTATAAGAACAAAACATGTTTTGGTTTCAGCTCTGAGACAGGTGGTGGAAAACTGCCCCAGCCAGCCTTGTGACTTTACGTCTGTCCTTCTTCACTGTGAGGTCTTGAAAGCATTTCTTTCAGGCCTTGTGCATCACACTCATCCTCTGTGATAGTGAATTGCTTTGCTGGCAAGGTTGCTGGCAAGGTTACTTTAAAGAGCAACACATATTCATTTTATGCATTTAATCCTCCAGAGTGTGAGGTAAAAAGATATTTTTCACTACTCTGTGACATCTGGAGTAAAGAACATAAGTCTGGATCTTCATGATGCTTTTTCGTCCATTTTTAGGTTCGAATACAAGGATTGACAGGAAATGTTCAATTTGACCACTATGGTCGCAGAGTCAACTACACTATGGATGTCTTTGAGCTGAAGAGCACAGGTCCTCGGAAGGTATGTGCTTACAGTGTTTATTATCTTTATACCTTGTAAATGCGAGATGGAGCCCTGAGTAACCTGATCTAGTGCTTGATCAAGCAGTTGGCCCACAGCAGGGGGATTGGAACTAGATGATCTTTGGGATCCCTTCCAACAAAAACCATTCTGTGATTCTATGTTTCTATGAATCTATGACTGTGATTTTTTGATAAATGAGTTTACAATGACTAAAGATTTAAAATAAATCAGATTCTGTGTCATTTAAAAAGGATAATATATCAAATACATGGATAGTATGTCAGGTGTAAGCAGAAAGACTATTTTCTACTAGATATTATTGTTCCATGCAAAAATTGGGGAATACAGAAACAAGTGTGCATCTTAGAGATGTGAAATGTCAGTCAGTCTGTCAGGCAGGCTAATAGCATAAGTCCCAGCAGCTATGTACGAATGCACATAGACCATCACTCAGCCCAATCATTCTGAAAAGATAAGCCTTATGTTTTGTTAGCCCTTCCTATTTTGTGCTCAAATTTTTTCAATTTATCACAGTATAAAACAAATAAAGATTAGAAAATGGACTAGACCTCAATGGATTTATTTCTTTTGGAGACACTATGGCCTGTATTGTTTGCTAGGACATCAGAAGATGGACATCACAAGCCTGGTAAATAGTATCCCAGATAAACAGTTTATTGCCAAAGATTAGTTGCAGTGATGAGGAGGCAGTGTTAAAGAATTACTCATTAGGTTGCGCTTACTGACAGTATATCCTAGTATAGAGCTGTAGACCAAAGCAAAGTTTGTCCCTGCATATCAGGTGTTGACTTTTGAAAGTATGACTTATGGCTAAGAAACACGCTGGGAAAGGTGAATTTGTCTTGCTTCTCTCTTGAGAAGTCCTGTGTCTTCTGCCAGAGAATGTCTGACCTTGTTTCCTGCCTGGCTATGATCCATGCTGTCAACAGCTGGGAGGATGTACAGGTAGCTGGGATGCCAAGGCAATTGGTGAGTGAGGTACAATCTCTCCATCCCCAATACCCAGTGGTACCAGAGGGGAATCTAGGTAGAAAAGGTGTAGTTAATTAGGTCACAACTTAGGTAACTCATTAGGGAGCTTGCTTAATGGAAAATTAACTGCCCCAATTGGTATATTGTTCTCGTTTCAACATTTCTCATCCATTTTGGGAATGATGCCATTGACTTGCACCACTGCAGGGATGTCCCCATCCTCTCTTCTTGACTATGATTTGAGGGGAAAGGTGGTAACAAAAAGAGGAGTTATGTCTGTGCTGCATTAGCATCCCAAGGTGCTTTTCTTATCTTTTCAGACATGCTTTCCTTTTGTCTCTATGCCACTCTCAAACCATTACCTGTCTTTGATATAAACAGCCATAACAGCTCTGACAGGTCTGGCTCCTCACAAGAATTTATTTCTTATGTATTGTTTGGGATTTTATATGTGATCATTGAACCAATTCTGTGCTCCATTCAACCTGACAAATCCTATATATTATGTGAGAAATGACTGTACTTAATTGAACTAAGAGGCCTTCACCTTTAATGTCTTCTTCTCACATCCTAAATAACATGATTAATGAATCATCCAGCAATCTTTTCAGAACTAGTCTTTCCAGTTAGAATAGCACATGCTTCTAATCTTTAGAAGAGTGATTTTTGCTGTCTACAGCTTTAAGGTTGTGAATAGAGCATTACAAAACTGCACAGCTAATGAGAAGTAGATTTGCATATAGTGTTGTCAGATGAGAGACAATAACCCATGCTCCTATTGGAGCATTCATTTATGCAGCATTCTATAGAAGGTTCTTGTCTGCAAAACAATGGTGTCAAGATTAAAAAGAAAACAAAATATAGACAAAGTTTATATATATATTTACACGTCTAAGATTTGAATGTCTAAGAGTTCGAACTTAGTCAACCAAAATAGAAATTACCAAAAATTTAGAGTTGTCTGTTGCTTGTGGGCTTCAGCAGGAACACCTCAGTGGTTGACATAAGGTGCACAGGCCTTCAAAAATGACATTGTTCATTCAAAAGCCAAACAGTTTTGACAAATATACTTTGAGGCAGATATTTTTACAATACTGTTTTCTGAGTGATAAATTCAGCCTCTCTATAAGTAGACAAAGCTGCTAAAAAATGGAAGTCCATATTGAATTGGATTTACTTATATAATAGCTGAATTCAGTCATTTCCTTTGAGGAGTTTTTCCCCTGAGAACTTGAGATTTTATAGGTAAACATAATGTATTTTAGTGCTTTCAGAGTTACTGCAAACCTATATTCTCATACATTTGTCATATATACCTTATATATTTGTTAGTAATCCAGTTCCAGAGTTGATTTAGTGCAGGTTTGAGGTACACACGAGGAAACACCTTTGCTCACAGGCTGAAATTCCTTTAAAAATACCTGCCATTCCTCAAAAAGCTCCTTTATTTCTGTCTGCTTTTTGCTATTGTACTTACTTTTACAGTACACTGCATCATTCATTTTCTACTTTCCTTCTGAACTTCCCAGCAGTGAACACTTGCACAATGAAAAACAATCACTCACTGTTATAATGATCTTCCCAAACTGCCAGGTTTCAGTGTACGCATTCTGCCTCAAGTCGGTCACAGTTCTTGACAGCAACTTGACATTTTCAGTTATCAATTTTATCTTTGAATCTGTGATTGTCTGTATGAAAGAGAATATTTGTTAGCAGTGCATCCTACTAGGAAACCAACCTGCCTCCCCACTGTATCAGCAAAACTGAAGCTTCCGTAAGCTGTAGACACATAAATCAAGGTTTGTATGTTATAGTGAAAAGAAAAGGAATGTGTCAACCAGAAGTAACAAAAGTTGTGCATTGGAAGAGTTTGTGCCTGTTCGCTACACTAGTTGAAAGTAAAATATTGGCTCATACTCACTCATCACCCATACTCTGCTACTTTTTATGTTTGTCATTCTCACAAATGCCTATTCACTGTTGTGATGAGTGTGCCTGAATATAGCTTTAGGGACTGCTAAGGTGACTTGCCTCTCAATAAATTAATTTAATAAAACAAATTGAATGGAATATTAAACATAATGAGAAATTTAAGAATGCATAGTATCCAGTAATGCATATGAACTCAGGAACCAAAAAACACCCCCCTGCACTTCTAGAGTCATCTACTGCATCACTGCATTTTTCTGAACAAGATGATTACTACATTTCATGGATAAAATCCTTTGTGAAGATGAGTTTTATTCTGGGTTCTGAAAAAACGTTAAAAATAATATTGGCTGCATAATTGATCTCATTGTCCAGCCAGTTTGCTTCACACTGAAGTCTTATCCAAGGCACGGACTGTTCTTTGGCACACACAGTTACACTCTAACAGAAACTCTAACCAGACCCCATTTTCCTCTAAAATTCCCCCTCTTCTAGTGAGATGGACAAGGAGTTCTTTTCTCTCACCTCTTGCTCTCATGAACTCCTAATTAATAAAGGCAGGCAGGAAGGAAGAGTAATTGCTGACAAATCCCCAGCTGCTTCTCGAGTGGCCTATGCCAGCTTGAACTGCTCAATTTTGAAAGGAATCTTTAAGATCACTGCCACTCTCTGCACCTTCCCTGGGAAGAAGAATCAGTTGCTAAATTCAGTTCATTAGAAACAAAGAGCTGCTTTAGGTGCGGGTATTGTTCAAGGGACACATCTGTATTCATGCATAGCAACCCAAAGACTTAGTATATAGTACATATATTTTGTTTATGAGGGTGGATAGTGATAGCACAAGGAGGAATGGTTTTAGGCTGAGACAGGGGAGGTTTAGGTTAGATAGTAGGAGAAAGTTTTTCACACAGAGGGTGGTGACACACTGGAACAGGTTGCCTAAAAAGACTGTGGATGCCCCATTCCTGGAGGCGTTCAAGGCCAGGCTGGATGGTGGGCGACCCTGCACATAGCAGGGGGGTTGAAAGTAGGCGATCATTGCGGGCCTTCTCAACCCAGGCTACTCCCATGATTCTATGACCTCGTGTGCTCATGAAAATTATCGAGTGCAGACGGATTGGAAAAAAGGGGAGGTGGAACATTGAGGTGGGATTTGGGTGGAGGGTCCCAGCCCCGAGCTGGGTGCACGGGTGCACCCACACCGGGGAAAGGCATTGTGACATCACAGGGCGGGACATGACATCAGTCTTTACTAAGTCACGTTGGAAGCCTCCCCCAGCTCAGACACGTGGGGCGGTCACTCCGTCCTGGTGGTCACTGCTGGAGCTCCGCTCTGGGTGACAGCCACTTGTGTGTTGAGAGTGGTCCTTGGGAGAGAACAGGATGAAGCTCAGCCTGACTCTCTTCCTGATCTTACTAGCTTTCATGTCTCCAATTCCGGACTTTTCCAGCTGTCTCAGCTGGGACTGGAATTGGGACAAAAAGCTGCTCCTTCCGGAGGAGCAGCATCCCGTAGAGACCGAGTGCCAGACCTCCAGCTGGATCGCCTGGCTTGGTCTAACCACCT